CTACATATGCCACTACAATTTTATTGACAATATGGAACTGTTTGGGTTACATATAAAGAAGATTTCTCACCGGAATGCTCATGGGATCAGTTGATTAGTCCAGTCGAATCATAAGTGATGATCAATAATTGCGACAGTGAAGATTGAGGCCACTTAACGATCCATATTGAAGTTTCCGCATTGTGCTTGGTTGTGTGGTTTTCTAGATTAGCATGGACTTGTTGATTCGATAAGTTGCAAAACTCTTTATAGATTTGAATAGGTAGAGCAAAGTAGAAAGACGCAAGGCACACATTATGCTAAACTAGTTTAATTTTCCTGTGTACACCAAGAAAAAGGCTGCATAATTTTTAAGAGATCTAATTCAGCCCTCGCTCTCTCGAATCCTGGTCCCATGAGGACTCGAAGTTCTTTTCACGATGTCACATATAGGGGTGTGCTGTTTGAATAGGTGTTCCTACAATTTGACACAAACTAGCACAATAGCTCATTTGATTTTGCAATCAAGTCGCTTACTACATGGTGATAAACTTTGCATAATTGCATAAACAAAAGTAACAACATGTTACTCCTACCAGTGTAACTCTAGATCTACTACCTCTATTTCAAATTATAAGATATTTTTTATTTTTTTTAGTATATAGTTTTTACTATGCATTTAAATATATAATATATCTAGATACATGAGAAAAATGATGAAAAATTAAAACATCTAATTTAGAACCGAGAGAGTACTTGTTTATTTTTTGAGCTCAAGAGAGTACTTGTTACTGTGATTGATGTTAAGCACTGGTTGTTGAATATACTCGTTCAGTTCTAAATTATAAATCGTTTTGATTTTTTTTAGTTCATTCATTTTACTATGTATCTAAATATATTATTATATCTAGATACATAGTAAAATGGATATAAAAAAAAGGTAAAGCAACTTATAATTTAGAATCGAAGGAGTATTATATATGCCCCATCAATTTATTTCGGCCGTCACAATCAAGAGATTTAGTACGATCCAACTATCAGAGACGGAGAAGGTCAGCAGCATCACTGTCAGTCAATTATTTAACGGACACTGTTTTTTTTTTGGAATCAACGGACACGGCCTTTTCGGGATTGTAAATTATTTACTGCTGGCTGGTTTGTTGTGAGAGAAAAACACTACTCCTAACTAAAAATTTACGATCGTTTACGAGCGCCGGCGCGTTGGTAGTAGTATCATCATTGATGAAATATATATATTGTACTTATACGTATGGACGATTGGGGTTGGACGTACTTGAGTTCGGCAATTTTGTATGAGGTCAACGCGTGGAATTTTACTTGCACGTTGCACCTGGACGCTGGACCTGGAGGTTGGCAGGAAACTCCAGCAGCGCCAAACATGACGGTCTTGCACGCTGCAACACAGGGCACGGTCCCCTGCTCCTCCTGCAGCGCCACGTACATCACTCGTGACGCATACGCAAACCTTTGCCATGGCTAAAATAACTAAACGTTGAGTTGAAAACTATTTCGATTTTTTTTAAACTATTTCTAGTGGCACTATCTCTGAAAATAGATTTTAACTACATCTAAAAACAATTGTGTCGCAGTGACTTGATTACGTGCACAGTGACTTGATTTATTAGAGTCAAATGAAACTAGTACATCCTCCTCTATCCACTAGATTTAAACCATGGCACAGATCCCAGAGTATAAGCCTCCGTTGACACCGGTACCACACCTGCCTAGGATAAGCTTTAATTTAGGAGGCATGGTGATGTGCCTACAATAAGTAATTGGTTTAGGAGCATCATATATCACTTCAACACCCATCTTATATCATTATATGTACTCTTAGACTGCGTGTTTTTTTTTTTTTTGAGGGGATCTTAGACTGCGTGCTGCTAAAGTGCTAAGCATCACCCAGACCCTACTGAAGACTCTAGTGAGGAGCAAGCGGGCCAGAAGGGGTAATCCACGTTTCACTGGGCCGGATTGGGTGTGTAATGCATGCGAGTGTGTATCAAAGGCCCATCAGCCATGGACGGCTTTGCATACATGGCATGTACAAAAGGGGAGAGAGGGGATAACAAGAAATACGATGACACTTTTCTTCGTCTGAACAAGCTGTGCTCTGTCCTATTCCTCTGCTGTTCTTCATCAACCTGTAATTGTCTTCCATTGAAGTGGTTCCTAACATAGACCTACCTTTAACTATATACCAAAAAAAAATTGGTAACCTATTTTGTATCTTTTGGACGTCCATTGGTCCGGACGCTTACGTTGGTGGGCCTCGACGCCTACCTCGAACAGCCCAAGAGTCTCACTTGCACCCATCTCGTGTTGCTAAAAAAAAATCTTTGCTTTCACTTCCCTGAATTTTGTAGTCTCTATTCTCGTATCGCTGCTGTGCCCACAACGCCACGGCATGCTGCACCGAGAACGCGCCATCATGCCCGCACCGTTGCGGCGTGCTGCATCGCGACCGCGCCGTTGCTCCCATACTGTCGTGGCATGCTCTACCGCGACCGCACCATCGTGGCATGCTCCACCGCGGCACTCTCCACCGCGCTCGCCCAACCGCCATCCTCCCTCTCCGCTGCACCCGAGCTCCGCCGCCCACCTTCCTCCCTCTCCACCGCGCGGCCTTCTCCACCGGAGCAAAGAGCTCCACGCCACCGGCGAGCTCTACATCGGTGAACTCCAAACACCGACGAGTCTCCATTCCCAAGCAGCAAGGAGATATGCGTTGAAAGCGCATATTGTAAACATATGTTTTAGGTTCCAGATGTTTCAGATAGGTATATTGTTGTGTTTCGTATCGGTGTTGCAAAAATAGATCGTGATGTTGCACAGCAATGACTATGCACGTATGTTTCAAGTGTGTGTTCTAAATTGTTTCATCTACATCAGACGTATGTTGCAAGTGTTTTCATCTGGAAGATGTTGCATATACATGCATGCTGCAAGCGTATGTTTCAAGTTTTTCAGGTGTTTCATACATCTGTTGCAAGTGTTTCATCTGGATGTTGCATATGTTTAGAAAGGTTTTCAAGTGTTTTCAGGTGTTTTTACAAGTGTTTCAAACACATGTTTCAAGTGTTTCATCTGTCTTCTTTTGTACGTTACAACTGTTGCATATGGATATTTCAAAAGTAGATCAGGTGTTGCACATGGGATACATGTGGGAAGCGGTTAGCGGTGCGGTTGACGTCCGGGGTGACGCGGGCCCAGTGCTAGGGCGCTCGCTCGCAAGCCCAATGCGCTAGGATGCTCTCGCTCACTGAGCGGGTACCATCCGACGCTAGCACCCTGGATCGGACGTCCGGGTGCTAGCAAGTCCGTTTTTTCTTTCAGGCTTTTGTCATCCATCATGTTTCTTGTTTTATGCCCACTGAGAGGTGGTTATCCTTAGTCAACATCCTCGCGGTCTGAAAAGCTCCAAGCTCATCTTTTTTATTAGTTATTATAAGATTGTTCAGCCAAATATGCAGGTGTCACATCCATGACAAGTAAAAATTCAGCTCACTATTCGTTTAATCCCTTGCATTGCATGCGTTTGTTCCTCTATCAATTGTTGCAATGCGGCCCTACCAAAGCAGCGTAGCGTAACCACGGGAGCTGCCGTAGCCAACCCGTCTTCCTCCTCTCGTGCTCTCAGCCACATCCAAACGGCCCCCTCCCTCCCTCCTCCGGTGAGCTCGCCGGAGAGGGCTGGGAGTGGAGCCCCCACCTAGTACTTAGTAGAGAGTAGTTTATAGTGCCCGGATGGGTGTCTCCCTGCAGGGAAAATCCTATCTTGCCGTCATTGTCACCGTCATCGTGGTCTTCCTCGCCGCCAACGTCGCCGACTACAAGATCAGTAGATATAAAATAAATCCGTTCTTCTTCTTCACGGATCTCCTCTCCATCATCTCCGCTTTCACCTCCACCCGCCATCGACGAGATCCACTCCCTTCCGATCAACAACCCTCGTCGCCCGCATCCATCTCCATATAGCAACCTCTAGTTCTGTTGACACCAAAATTTAGGTCAGTGTAGCGCCCTTGGATTTAATCATTTGTTAAGGAAAGCCGAAGTGTCTTCGGGATTAGCTAGCCAAAAGGGCATCAGAATCGGCTGAATTCCATGATATCACCGTTTCAAGGATGGGCTGTGCCGATGGAAGATGTCGGCGATCAGGAGCAGAAAAGCATGGTGGACTCCATAGAAGGAAAAGATTAGAGTCCAAGTTATCTTAATTTAGGATGTTTTGTCTTCTTTTCTAGGTTTTGTAACCAGTCTTGTTCTACCTGGACTCGCAGCCAAGCCTCGGGTATAAATATTGAACCCCGGCTATTATAATAGACATCTCTCATTGATCAATCAAACCAGTACCTTTACTTTTTGGCTTACGCTACCCCTTAGGAGTAGGAGTAGAGTAGATCTCGATGAGTTCTTCGAGCAAGCAGGGCTGCATCGGTTAGGTCCGACCTTCGGTTTGTTTGTGAGTATCCGTCACGACTTATACTTTGTTTTATAAATGGGCCGTACTTGCGTAATAGTCAACTTGTCTTGCTTTTGGATGGACGGGCCTGGCCCGGCTATTTTTGGTCTGTTAAGATATGAAAGCCTGCTTGCTTTCTTCGATGACAGTTCTTCTAATCTTCTGACGATGTAATAACCGGTGGATATTGTTCACTACAATTGCATCAATTCACCTTCACCATGCATGTTTGTTGTTTGGTTGTACTAATTAAAGAAAAGAAAGCCATTGATTTTCACAACAATATTGGTATCCATAAGTTTATTGAATCTGCATTACGCCTTTCCTGAAGGAATATCCAAAATATATTGGATCCTCCCCGTCACATTATTATTGCTGAACCTTAACCCATTGACCCTGATAGGATCGGAAGCTAGCTAGATCGCAGTGCCGCCACCGCCGCCCGCCCGCCGTTCATTTGAAACCAAACCATTTCTAATATACGGCGGCCGGCAGCGGCAGGCCGGCGGCCGTTCATTTTTTATCGTCGCCACGTTCACGGCACTCGGCAGCAGCAGATGGGGTAATATTTGCCCGGAGTGCAGTACGTCTGGAAGTTCTTGTAGTTGTTCTTCTGGCAGTACTCGAAGCACGTCGTCGCGTTGCACGGCACCACATACTGGCAGTAGTCTATATAAACAATTCACTGTCAGAGCCAAGGCCAGCACGGCATATATATAATAAATATATAGCAAAAAAACAAGTTATTACAATACCTCTTGATGCAGTGCAGGATGAGAAGACCATGGCCATGGCGACGAAAAGAGCAGCAAACAACAGGACACCGGTGCCCATCTTCACGAGCAGCGCCATGGAAAACTGAATGTAATATGGAGAAGAACTGATTTGTTCTATGTGGATCTTGATGTGCTGCTGTTATACATGACATTGCTCCTCCTTCGGCCCCGGGTATATATATAGGCAAGAGAGGTCATTAGATGGAATCAGATAGACCGTTTCTTAATTAATACCGTAACATATGGATGGAAATTACATGTCATTTATTTGTTGCCGCCATTTCCAAGAGTTAATTTTGGTTACTAGTTAGAGAAGACGATGTACTGGACCGGCCAACCCTTGGGCTGTACATGGCTTTGTGCTGGGCTTCCACGATGATCGCCAGCCTAGGCCCATCCATGGATATATAAGCCCATATCTCTAGTTCATAAAACATAGAAAAAATATAGATATCGCCTCCCAAAACTATTGTCGTGATCTATTTTCCCTCGTCAAACTCTAAAACTGGACATCTTACCATCTAAATTCTCATAACTATATAAATATAGGAGCACACCACCAGAAGGCCAATCCAATGTAAGGCATTTGAACGTCATCTTCCCACCGGTGTTTTTTCTTTACAGGGATGCAGAAAGGATTACAGCACATGCAGCAAGGAAGACCGATAATAATCACCCCAACCTGGAACCAATGTGCGTCTTTCTTTCTTTTTTTGTCAATTACACAGTAACTCCGCCTATGTTGTCTCAACATAGCAGGTCCCAAGCCCTATTAAAGGAGGAGGGTTGTGATAGGCGTGGCGAGCCAACGTTAAATCTAGCCATTCTAATGGAGATGAAATCCAAAAGAAAACCGTTGGGGCGTAACCCTCTTAGCGACGCGTCATATCGAAATCTGGGTATGGTGTTAAATGGGCAAGGGCCGGGTCGGCACCCCCTTGGTGACGTGTCGTGTCATGATCTGGGCATGGTGTCAAGTGAGCAAGGATCGGGTCGTCGCTTCCTTAGTGGCGCGCTACATCGGCGCCCGGGTGTAGTGAAAAATGAAGGGTCTTCACATCTGAGTCGACGCATGCAAAGGGTAAGGAAGCTAGCCGAACCAACTAGGATCCGTTTAGGTAGTTGAAATGTAGGGTCGCTTACAGGTAAGTTAAGAGAATTAGTTGATCCCATGACTAGAAGGCGTGTAAATATATTATGCGTTCAAGAGACTAAATGGAAGGGTCGGACTAAATGCAAGGGTCAGAAGGCGAAGGAGGTGGACAATACAGGTTTCAAGCTTTTTTACACAGGGACAGTCGCGAATACAAATGAAGTAGAAGTTTTGATTGATAAGAGCCTCAAGAATGATGTGATGGGAGTGAGATGGCAAGGAGATAGGATTATCTTAGTTAAGCTTGTCGTTGGTGATATGGTTTTGAACGTAATTAGTGCGTATGACCCACAAGTAGGCCTCGACGAGAGTGCTAAGAGACAGTTCTGCGAAGACTTAGATGGACTGATTAGCGTTGTACCTAGTAGTGAGAAGCTTTTTATAGGAGATCTTAATGGGCATGTAGGTACTACAAGCGCTGGTTTTGAGGCAGTTCATGGAGGTTTTGGGTATAGTAATAGGAATTAGGAGGGGGAGGAAGTCCTGGACTTCGCGGTAGCTTTTGACCTGATGATAGCCAACACTTTCTTTAGAAAGAGAGAATCTTATCTAGCGACCTTTGGTAGCGAACAACACTCTAGTCAGATTGACTTTGTCCTCGTAAGAAGAAAGGACAAACGAGCATGCTTGGGTTGCAAGGTGATACCAGGGGAGTGTGTTATTTCTCAACATAAGATTTTGGTGGCAAACTTTCGTTTTCAGGTGCGTGCCCGTAGGGATAAACAAGCTAAGATTGAGAGAACAAAGTGGTGAACACTGAAAGGGGAGACGTCAGAGGTATTCAGGGAAAGGATTATCAAAGAGGGCTCTTGAAAAGAAGAAGAGGACATAAACAACATATGAGAGAAGATGGCAACCAACATTCGGAAGGTGGCCCCAGAGATGTGTAGAGTAACCAAAGGAAGTGGAGTGTAGGACACGTGGACGCCTAAGAGGGGGGGAGTGAATTATGCAACTTAAAAATCTAACTCTAAACTATGGCCTCTTTTTCTACCTCTAGCAAAACCTATGCAAAAGATAATCTATCTAGATGTTCAACTACGGTTTTGCTAGTGTGTTGCTATCTCTACCGCAAATGATAATAATATGATCAATGTAAATGCGGAAGCTTAAAGAGCAAGGTAGAGATATGCAAACTCCCGTCGACGACTCCGGTATTTTTACCGAGGTATCGAGAAGCGCGCAAGCTTCCCCCTAGTCCTCGTTGGAGCCCCTCGCAAGGAATCCCTCGCAAGGGCCAAGCTCCCGGTCGGGTAACTCCGTGGATAGCCTCGGGCCTTCCCCACGCGCAAGTGGGTCTCCGATGTGCCTTCTGGCAAGCCTCTCCCGGATGCTCCCCGCCGTCTTCACTATCAAGCTTTCGACCGAAACGCCGCGGGCCTTGTTCCCTTCGGTACACGGTGGCGGCCGCACCACAAACGCGGTTGGTGCGATCTCACAAGACTTCAAGCCCCTCCGATGTACAACTCTTGTGCTCGCAAGCACGGGGTGGCAAGAGGTATGCAAACCTCACTAAACACTAGGCATACACCTAGAGCAAGCGCATAAGCGGTGGTCTAATCAACCTAAGTACTTCGCAAAGCACCTACGCTAATCACCTGATGAAACACTAAGCACTTAGCAAGTGGAGATCACTAAAATGGTGTATCAACACCCTTGGTATGTTTCCTCAGCTCCACTCTTCTCAAATGGCCGGTTGGGGGTTGTATTTATAAGCCCCACTGAGAAAGTAGCCGTTGGGGTCGAACTCCCGCAAATCTGCTACTGACCGGACGCTGAATCGTCCTGACCGGACGCGTCCGGTCATCCCGACCGTTGCAACCGCGAACTACCGATCGGACGCTGCCAGCGTCCGATCGCCTGCCACCGGACGCGTCCGGTCGCAGTTTCGCGCGCCTGGAACCTCTCTGTACTCGATCGGACGCTGCGTTCCTGCGTCCGGTCGGTTGCCGCCAGCGTCCGGTCCTTGCGTCCGGTCGCCTATCTGCCGAGCCACCGGTCCAGCATCCGGTCCAGCGTCCGGTCGCCTCTGCGAGCTCGTTTCTTCGTGATCTTGCGTACGGCTTGGTTCCTATCTTCATGCTTGGACTTTGCTTGATTTCTTGGGTCTTCACTTGTGCTTCTAAAGTCTTACTTGAGGTGTTGATCATCGAATCATCACGTCGCCTTCGTCCAAGTCACGTCTTGCACCCTATTGGACTACAAAACAAACACGTGCAAATTCATTAGTCCAATTTGGTTGTGTTGGTCATCAAACACCAAAATCCAAAGTAAATGGGCCAATGGTCCATTTTCCTTACATGGAGGCGAGGCTAAAGATACTTGGTGGTGGAACGAGGAAGTCCAAAAGGCTATTAAGGAGAAGAAAGAATGCTATAGACGCTTTATTATGATAGGAGTGTGGACAACATAGAAAAGTACAAGGTGACAAAGAAGACTGCAAAACGAGCTGTAAGTGTGGCAAAGGGTAGAGCATACGAGGATCTTTACCAACATTTGAGTACGAAGGAAGGAGAGAATAACATTTATAGGATGACTAGGGTTCGTGAGAAAAAGACAAGGGACTTCAACCAAGTTAAGTGCATTAAGGATGAAAGGGAGCATATCTTGGTGAAGGAGAATGAGATCCGACATCGATGGCAAGAGTATTTTAACAAATTGTTCAATGATGAGAATACGGACACAACCTTTCAGTTGAATGACTCTTTTGATGACACCAATAGGCGCTTTGTGTGGAGAATCCAAGAATCTGAGGTCAGAGAGGCGTCAAAAAGGATGAAAGGAGGTAAGACAATGGGATCGGATGGTATCCTAATCGAGGTGTGGAGATGCCTCGGGAACATAGCTATAGTATGCTAACCAAGCTGTTCAACCATTTTTTCAATCGAACAAGATGCCTGACATGTGGAGGTGAAGTATATTGGTACCGATCTACAAGAATAAAGAGAATATTCAAAGTTATACTAATTACTGGGGAATTAAGTTGACGAGCCATACTATGAAGCTATGGGAGAGAGTTATCGAGCATCGTTTGAGATCAATAATGCGGGTCTCTATGAACCAATTTGGTTTCATGCCCAGAAGGTCAACCATGGAAGCCATTTTATTAATAAGACAAGTTATAGAACGGTATAGGAAGAAGAAGAAGGATCTACACATGGTTTTTATTGACTTGGAGAAGGCTTATGATAAAATACCAAGGAATGTTATGTGGTGGGCTTTGAACAAACATAAAGTCTCAATGAAGTATGTCGGGCTCATTAAGGACATATACAACAATGTTGTTACTAGTGTTCGAACAAGTGATGGAGACACGGGTGACTTTCCGATTAGGATAGGACTACATCAAGGGTCAACTTTAAGCCCTTATCTGTTTGCCTTAGTGATGGATGAGGTCACAAGGGACATACAAGGGGACATCCCTTGATGTATGCTTTTCGCGGACGATGTAGTGCTAGTTGATGAAAGCCAGACAAGAGTGAATCAGAAACTAAAGTTATGGCGAGACTTTGGAGTCCAAAGGTTTTAGATCCAGTAGAATTAAAACTGAGTATATGAGATGTGACTTCGGCACTACTACTCGGGAGGAGGAAGATATTAGTTTGGAAGGTCAAGTAGTGCCTAAGAAGGATACCTTCTGATATTTATGATCAATGCTACAGAGAGACGGGAATATTGATAAAGATGTTAGCTATAGAATCAAAGCAGGATGGATAAAGTGGCGCCAAGCATCTGGTGTTCTATGTGACAAAAGAGTACCACAAAAGCTAAAAACAAGTTTTATAGGACGGCGATTAGACCTGCTATGTTGTATGGTGCATAATATTAGCCTACGAAAAGACGACATGTTCAACAGATAAGTGTCGCGAAAATGTGTATGTTGCGTTAGATTTGCGGTCATACAAGAAGGGATCGAGTTCGGA